GACAAGTTCAGCTCTGTTCTCTTTAACTACATTGTCCTCTGCTCTGCTGGAGCGGGAACAACAGACAATCCTGAAACTGCAATTTTAACACCAAATCTGCACACTTTAACTTGTATTATTATGTATTTTATATTCAGCAGGTGGCTAACCAGCTGTGCATGAGACTAACTGAATCTACCAAAAACTAAAAAGGATAGTTTTTTACTCATTTAATTAAAAAAGTGGGCTTCCATCAAATCAGGAGGTCATATGTGGCTTCAATAACTTTGTGTTGACTGTTGCATTCTCACATCATCCTCCTCCTCCTCCACATCCAGAATCCCAGAGTCCTGCTCAGACAGCGGGTTGCCGTTGTGTCGGTTGCTCGCTGTTCCAGCCGCCACCGCCGCCCTCCTGCCTCGACGACTAATCAGAGCTCTGGGCTGCACAGTGACGGAGCTGTCCAAGGAGCGCTGGACCTGGGCCTGAACACAAATACACATCCGAAGGTCAGAAAGGTCAATCCTAACTCAAGGAATCGTGTTTTGTTTGGTATTTTCCTCCCTCCTCGGGGAGTAGACCACCTCTCTGTTGACCTGCATTGTTTGTGTCTATTCCATTTACTTCCTACATTTCCCAGAAACCCTTTTCATGTCACACAGAGTGGGGAAACTTTGGCCCGACTTCAGAGCAAACGGGTCGAGGCTCTTTGATATCGATGGTTTGACACCAAAACCAGATGTTACCCAAAAACAATGATACACCGTCTGCGCTGAGAAGCTGTCCAACATCTGCTCCACTTCCACAGACCAGACAGAGACGAACCAAAACAAAAACACCAACAAACCAAAGACCAGACCTTCTCATTTAGTTACTTTCACAGACAGAGAGGGTGTTTCTCTTTTTACATCCCAAAACATGTAAAAAAATAAAACAAAACACAAAAGGGAAGACGGGTTAAAAAAGCAGGAAGGGTAAAGAGTCAATGAGACAAAGAGAATAAAACTTGACCTGAAAGTGGAGATGAGGACAGATTTATTGTGTTTTGTAACTATTGTTCAGATAAACCGTGTTACAGTTTCTCAAAAATGTCTAAAAATCCTGAAAATAGTCTATTTAAACGTAATTAAATGAACCCTTTTTGAAAATACGCAAAAAGCTTGGGATCTCTGTAAAGATAGCACTCAGAGGTTTAATCTCAGCGGCCAAAATTTCCTGATTCAGGGACCAAGTTACATCTTTGTGGTCTGCAGAAGACTGATAAACCATTTAGATAAATATCTAAAGCATGCAGGATCCTGGCCTTTGAGGACCAGGATTGGAAACCCCTCGGGTCAGTCTACTTTAGCTTTTAGGGCTATCAGGAATGAAACATATTTCTTGACCATTTAAAAACTCAAGGGTTCAGTATTTAATCAATCAGGCAGCAAAACATGATTCATTCATTTGTTTATTGTTTATTTAAATGTGTCAAATATTAATACCATACACTACAACAATAATAGCATAGGGTAATTTGCTATTTCAAGATTCAAAAAACATTGTCGTCTGTCACAAGTTGTAACAGAAAATTGTCTTTGGTCTATGATAGAGGCACAAATCACACATAACCCCAAAATCAATCATAAAATACCTAAAAAAACCTACCTACTCACAGAACCTCTAACTATAACTGTTCGAAAATCTACAAATTTTTCCTTTATTTAAAAAGCTGACTGCAGTAGGAACAAAAGTTTTTATAAGTTTTTTTCTTGGTTCTCTAAAACTTGAAGATTGACGTTGAAATAATTGGTGAAGGGGGTGTGACGAGCCCTTGGTGATACTTTGCTTTACTTTGTGCTGCATGGCTGTAAAGTTCTGAGATGCATTTGAGAGGTATCAATAAGTTTAGCTGCCTGTCTTGTTCTTTTCTACAAGGAACCTGCATCCTTATGTCAATACCCAAAGTCCAAATCAAGAAATATCAGTTCACAAGACGAGTTGGGAATCTCTGGCATGGTAACTCTAAGTCATCACTCAATCATAACCACTGATAGGGAACCAACAACAGTCCTCAAGGCCAAAATTACCAACCCTACCCAATGATTTTCCACTCCTCAGATGGTTTTCCTACAGATCAGGGCACCAGTGGCAATAATCATTAGTTTTTTAGTATTCTGTATGGACACTAGGGTTGGGCATAATCGTTTAGTGGGTCATTAATCATCAGAAAAACATTAATCGATTAATTTTTGGCACTTGACAATTAATACGATTAATGCCAACAGGTAGAATCCGCTCGCTGCTCCTCTCAGCTTTAAATATGACAAACCTTAAAAAAAGTTCTGTAACTTATTTATCTATCAACACAAAAATTTGATGTATAGCCTGAAGTCTTTAATTTTGACACAATTTGGATCAGATTTTTATGAAGAGCAAATCTTTCCCACTAAATTGGTCATGTGACTATGAAATAAGGGTGTCCAGGGACTCCAGGGGATTAATCGTCAAATTAATCGTTATCGGCTAAATACCACAATTAATCGTGATTTATTTTTTTGCCAATATTGCCCAACCCTAATGGACACAAATTTCATGTTTTATGCATAAATTTATTCAATCCCAAATGGGTGATTTTTTTTTTTCTTTCAAGAAGTTTCTCTTTTCAAACTAGAAGCTTTTTCAACTAAACTAATTCAACTAAACGCTTAAGTAAAAACAAAGAAATCTATTTTATTTTAAATGTAGCCAACATTTGGACATATTAGCCCTAATAAAGGGCCATGAAGCTTCTCAGTAATGTCTCATTAAAACTAAAGAAGAAGAAATGAGGTGAAGGTTTCTGTTTGACTCCATGTCCAAGTTGAAACTAAGACGGAAAAATGAATCCTCTCAGGAACTCATCTGACGCAAACTCTGTCATGTATCTGCGGTTATTTACGGAGTATTACAGGAAATGATACATTTGATTTCCTTTGCGCCAGCGTCGAATTAGAAACTCTAAAAATACAAAAATCAAAAACAGGAAGCGTTTACTAGAAACCCGTATCCAAAACAAAATGGAGACAAATTTAAGTCCAAACTAAAAGATGGAGAATGCTAGGAATACTTTTTTTTCCACTTATATTTTACACAAATAATAGTTTTTGTTTTGGTCTTTTTTATCAAAAACGCCTTTAAGTTTTTGAATTTTGTTCCCACGCTGAGCTTCAATCATTTTTTCTGTGGGAAAACCTTCTGAGATCGGCATCGAGGGCATCCTTCCACCCACACCCACATTGAGTTTGGATCCTTTTGAAAAGTAAAAAAAATAAAAATCGAACGCTTCCTCTGCTCCTCTGCGGCGGGTTACGTGACGCGTAACCTGCCGCACGCTCTTAAATCTGCGATACGGGATGTGAAGAAATGCGTCAGGGACCCGAAGCGTCTCGATCCGAGCCGTTAATGGCATTGATAATGAGAAAAACGGGTGTGCGTGCGGGGCTCGGATAGGCAGAAACCCGGAAGAGCACAATCTGAGTGCTGCCGGAGGAACACAATGCCATCTTTGATCTGATGCCCACACATATGCAGGTCGCACAATCAGACGGCAAATGAGTCATGAAAGACAATAAGTACAAAGAAAATCTGGAAATTCTGGTTCGTCTGCACTTGAGGTCAAAGGGAGGAGGGAGAGGGGACAAATGCTCAACCTCCTGACCTCTTCTTTAGAGACAAAACAAAACAAAAGTGTTTTACCAAACTGTTCGACTTTGAAATGACGCCATGTTTCATGCCTGCGTTTTAGACAAAGATCTTATTTTGTTGCTGGTGAAATGTTGAAAATGTTTTTGCACGATCTCATGATGTCATGCTCTGAGTGTTAGTTGAGTGTGATCCAAGGGTTAAAGAGATATTTTGCTAACAGTCTGTTAAGAAATGTTTTTATTGTTTATGGATGGATGGATGGATGATGTATAGATGTATGGATGGATGATGTATAGATGGACGGATGGATGGTGTATAGATGGATGTATAGAAGGATGGATGATGTATAGATGGATGTATAGAAGGATGGATGATGTATGGATGGATGTATAGAAGGATGGATGATGTATGGATGGATGTATAGAAGGATGGATGATGTATGGA